ATATTTCCCATACAGCATTTCATATACCTTTTGTTTCATAACATTGATTGCAATCCCCATGATGTAACATCTCTCTTCCTATTTCCTCCTGTGGAGGATGTATGTCCATTATACCTCAGGAAAATTTAAATTAAGCTATGAAAATATTTATTTTCTCTAGTTTTCTTAAAATAATTTTGCTTGCAGATTGTTAAAATTTAGATCAAAATAAGATCAGTACACTAACTGGTTGATAAATATCTTTTTTGATCTGCAGGTTCCCTGTCTTACTTTTTTTTTTCTCTTGATGATTATTTTTTAATTGGCAAAGTTTGGTTTCTATAAGAATTTCCCAAGCCTGCTTTTGCCAGCCGTATCCCCACTTTGGTGTTTACCTTGTTTCTCTAGCCCCCTTCATTTCCTATGCATTGATAGTTAGGTCTAGAGGCTTGATTTAGGTTTGGTTTTTGTGGCATGAGTACTTTATAGCAAAGATAGTATTGTTTCATCAAATTGCATGTATTATCTGGTTGTCTTTCTTTTTTTGATATTAGTAGCTACTGATGACCTAGCTCCAATAATTCATTAACGTTTACAAAATCTTGAAATTCTATCATTTTTTAATTTATTGTGTGGAATATTACTTTAAAGAGAAACTTTACCTTATTAACTATTTGGTTTGCTTAGCTACAGTATGTATTGATTAGGCAAAATAAATTATTGATCTTTTCCCCTTTATTTTTCTGTTTTCAAAATAATCAATTAGACTTCTAGTATCCTCTAAAGGTGACCAAATAATTTTTGAACTCAGGTATACAGATATATTTGACATATTCAAATCAATTGCAGTTATTTTTATTGACACTCAAAATCTCCCATCTTTGGCCAGTGATAACATACTCAGTCTTTTTTTTTTTTGATAGACCCAAGTGGTTTTTGATAGCATCCTTCCTTAATGGTATGATAAGATATTATAGGCTTATCTTATACATTTCCTGCCTCAGAAATGCAATCAGCCATTATTCCAGTTTTTTAGTGGGAAATTGAATTTAGTAGTGATTGCAATCTAGACATTAGCTTGACCGTTATTTTTAGACCTATTCACTGGATAGGACTAGGAAGTTTTAAATTTTTGTAAGATAAAATATAATTGTAAGTTCATACTGATACTTAAATTCAGATTCATGACCACCAATTTTTTATTTACCCTCTTTTCTTTTTTTGTTTTAGTCTTCTTTTTTGTATCTGCATATTTTTAATTCTACTTTTAAATTCTAGTCTGGATTACACCAAGATGTATTTGCTTTAGCCTACAACACCTTGCAATGGTATCATAAAAAAAATAATAATAATACTGCCATTATGACTACTTAAAACAGCTTAAAATATATTTTGCACACCTTTATGTCTAAGGAGATAACCATTTAGGATGTATAGTAGAGTTACCGTATTCTAAGTCACTTGGCCAAGGAAGTATGGTTGTGCTACAAATGGGATACACATTTATATTTGCTTCATATTTTCTTGGTTCTTTTCACAATTCAATTTTAAATATTTAATTTTGTTTCATAATTATGTAAAATACTAAAATAGTTTTAAAATCAAATCTATAAAAATTATATACCAAAATGGCTTACCTCTAACTTGTATTCAGCTTTCTGTTACACTAACATATCTTTTAAATTTCATGGTTTCTTTCCATTTTCAGAAATATACACAAATTATGTATATGTGTGTGTGCATATGTATGTGTGTGTATATATACACACACACACACACACACATAAGTATGCAAACCAAATAGTCTATAAGGGAAAGTTTCTCTTTGAAGTAATATTCCACACAATAAATTAAACAATGATAGAATTTCAAGATTTTGTAAACCTTAATGAATTACTGGAGCTAGGTCATCAGTAGCTACTAATATCAAATGTATCCTCCAATTTTTTTTAGCTAAAAGGTGTCATACTACATCATTTTCTAACATACTCTTTTCACTTAACAATGTAGCATGGTGTTCACTTTATATACATTTATTGGTATGATTGATATGTATGACATAGTTATTGTTGTTAGGTGTTGTTGAGTTGGTTCTGCCTCAGTTTCTGTTGTACGTGGGATAACAACCCCATGTACAACAGAAAAAAACACTGCTTGGTCCTGCCACATCCTCACAATCATTGATATGTTTCAATCCATGGTTGTACTTGCTGTGTCAATCCATCTCATTTTATATATACATACACACACTTTGTGTGTATGTGTGTAAGTGAATATGTAACTATCTTTTGTGTCTTATTTATAACTACTATTTGTTATTTGTTATATAT